TGTAGTGTGGCACTACCTTGCTGCAGCGGTATGAGACAACTTGTCCATAATCCCATAAATAGACGTCCTTAATGGAGCCTGCGTAGCTGGACATGTTGATGATGGCTGCCTTGCTGCAGCTCAGCACTGAGCCCGGGCTCCCTTGGGCAGCCTTCTTCAGCAGGGGCAGGAACGCCTGTGAGGAGAGGAGAGGAGACAGGGGCACTGATGGAGGAGGCACAGGGGAGAGGACCAGCTCCTTCCACAGCGGGCAACATTGGCCCCAGCACTGGAGCATCCTCCATTGTCTTCCCATTGCCCCAGCCCAACATGCTGCAACTCCTGAGCTCCAACCCATGGGTCCCTGAGCTTCTTGTTGAACAAGAGCCCCTCAGGCACTGGAGCAGAGCCAAGACCTTCTCCCACGGGTGCTTCATGCTTCCTGTAATGGCCCAGCACAGGGAGCCAGCACTGCGGGAAGGGATGCTCCCTGGAACCGACCTGCAGTGCTGCGGTGAGGGTCTCACCTGTCCCAGCAGCAGAGGCCCAATAGTGTTGGTGGTGTAAGTCTGGGACATGTTCTCCGGTGTCTCATTATCAAGGGAGTTCGGTTTTGCAATTCCAGCGTTGTTGATGAGGAGGTTCAGCCCCGAGCCCCCCAGCTGCTCCCCGACTCTGTCTGCAGCCGCCTTGACACTGGCGGGGTCGCTGACATCTGCAGTGGTGACACAGGGTAGGCGGGTGTCCCCGTGATGCTTTGGGATTCCCTATGTCCCACCAGGGACAGCAGCTTCCAATGTTACCAGAGGCAGCAACTTGTCAGCACGGCTCCCTCCAAGCACAGAGCACCCAGGGTGTGCGCAGCAACGGGACACTTGCCAGGGGAACTGGGGTGAGAGACCTCCACCTCAGGGCACCTACCGAGTGGGATGATGACCAGGTTGGGGTGCTTGGAGGCAAAATTCTGTAGCTCCTGCAAGAGAGGCGACCGTGTGGGCACAGCGAGGCAGGAGGGGCTGCGCACAGGCTCAGCCCTGCCCAGGCAAAGTCCACATCACTCTGGCTCTGTCCCTGCAGCACCGTGCTTCCAGCTCCCGGCTCCAGCTGCCCTGTTCCCGTTGGGTGGGGCTCTGTGCCTCTGGCACGCACCCTGT